CCCAGGCAGCGTTCGCTACAGAGAGGCAAGGCAGGGAGTGTCTCTTGCTGCAGAGACCGGTTCCGAGTCCAGCAGAGCCCTGGGTTCAAGGCACTGCTGTAAAACCAGGAAACTTGGACTGTTCACAGTCCAACTCCTGGAGCAAGGTGGTGTTTGTCAAGCTGCAGTCAGAGCTTACCTCACAGTGTCCTCCTTCCATCCTAGTTTGTAGCCCAGCTGCTGGGTTTCCTGATCAGTGTGGTCAGCTCCATATTCTGTGGCCATCTGGGGAAAGCTGAGCTGGATGCTGTGACGCTGGCTGTGTCTGTAAGTATTGCTTTTTCTTCTCTCATGTAAAGCATACAAATTGTGGGTCTCCTTAAAAAGACAAAGAAAAACCCTGGAGGAATTCTTACCCAAGAACCGCCGTGTCTAAGCACACCGATGCAGCGCACCTACCAAATTGCTTTTGCCCCAAGGATAGGCAGGAGGTACAAGACTGAGCAGTACCCGGTAGTGTCAGTGCAAGGCCAGCACCTGGGCAGGCAGCTTGAGTCTGTGACCCAGCTCTCTGGACCTGCCAGGCCCAGGCACGCTCCTGTGGCTAGAAATAGCACTGCTAGTGACCCTTTAGGTATTTGGCCTTTGTTGGAGGATCTTTTATCTTTTCTCACAGTATAAGAGGAAAGAGGCTGTTTGGATAACATTTGTGTGTTATTCTGAGAACAGGAGACAGTCTGGAGACTTCCCAGAAACTCACAGTAGAAACGTCTCCCCACCCAGCTGGGAGACACACAGCGCTTTGGGCCAGCTCCCCTGTGACCCTCCCTACAGACCGAGTTCTCTCTCCCCTCCAGGTTATCAACGTGACGGGCATCTCCATTGGTTCTGGTTTAGCCTCAGCATGCGACACGCTGATGTCCCAGGTCAGTAGCTGCTCCCCGCTCTGTGCTTTGGGAGGACTCAGTTTGGTGCTGCCCCGGATCCTGTGTGGGACAATACGGGCACAGAGGGCAGGAGGCCGACAGCTTCCAGCCAGCCTGGGGCTCCGAACGTGCTATCCGGAGCCTGCTCCCTCCGTGCGGGACAGGAGGGGCACAGATGAGGAAGAGATGGGGCTGAGCCAGACTCTCCAAGGATCACTGGGTTGTACCTAGGTAGCAGGGGGATGTGTATCCTAGCTGGGGTCTGGTTCTAACCAGCTCAGCACTAGCTGCTGCTGGGAGTGGGAAGAACTTGCATTTAATTGATCCGTGGCTGCCTCTGGAGCAGCACATCTGCCCAGATGCTCTCCCCTCGCCTTAACTCTCACCTTGGTGCTGTCTCTCCACTCAGACCTATGGCGGCAAGAACCTGAAGCAGGTGGGCACTATCCTGCAGCGGGGGATCCTTATCCTGCTGCTGTGCTGTTTCCCGTGCTGGGCAATCTTCATCAACACCGAGCGCATCCTCCTGCTCATCCGACAGGACCCCGAGGTCTCCAGGTCGGGAGT